CCTACACTATCAACCTCTTAAGATGGATTATAGTAGATAAAGCGTTAGTCACTAAAAAAATGAAAGAAAATTAGAAATGCTATGAAGATACAAGGGCATGAAAATTACTCTGGTATTATACTTTTCTACATTATTTGGTACGTAATGGAACAAGCCCTGACATTAAGTAAGAAAACCTCTATGATAAATATGGGCATGATTTTTTAACCATGTATATTATTTGTAAATTTTAAACTGAAACAGGATTCTCTACACTCTTTTTAAACAGTTGCATTTTTTTTTAAATTTAGTTTACCACCATAAAAAATAGTTTTGTAAATATATTTCGTTCAAAAAATTCATACATTCAAACAGCCAATACATACTATTAATAACCTTTAGAGTAGGTGTGCTTAACATAACATTACAGCTACATAACACTCTACAAAGGAATAACAAAATTGTAAAATCAGTGTTTTCCAATTTTTAGCCTTGAAATGAAACCAAATTTTTTTTGAAATATAAAGCTGTATCCTTCTACGATTAATATAAAACATATTTTGATGAAAGAGTGTAGTTTTTGAAATCATAGTGAATAAAATCAGCAGGAGTTGATATGACTTCATTCAAAATTGTAATGGAATGCATTCAATGCTAATATCCTATGAACCCTTTTCCAACAGAAATGCATCGAGGAATTGTAAGCCATTTGCTTCAGCATGACAAAAACTAGTGTCTAAACATAAAAACCAAAATTAATTTATTTTAGAAACAGATTTTATGTGCAAAAGATATGTTAACCACTTTTAAGAAACCTTAAATACGATAATTTATTGTGAAAATAATTTTAAGTATCGTATACAAGAATTTAATAATTGCCATCAATATTGAAGATAAATCTGTCTTTAACAACGAATATGACAAAATCCAATTTATATTTTGCCAAGAAAAATACATGGATAAAGAAGTATTTCTTGTTCAGCGGTTATACATCTTTACCAAGTTCATCAATAAATGTTCGTTCCAATATATTTTATAGAGCGAGTTTTGTGTACATTTCAAATCTTCTAATTGGTCTAATTCACTATGTCATAAAGGTTATTTTATATTTATTTCCACAGAATTATACCGAGAGATATAATGCATATTTGATCAGATATTTCAAATACATAGATCGCACAATTGTTCCAATGCTAAATACATTTTCTATATTTATCTTATACACATACACTACAAAGAAACATGACATATGTCGCTACAGCAAATAAACACGAAGTATTCATGCGCTCACTCTAGCGGAACTGTTCCAACTCATATTTGTCACAACATAAACAGCTGGGACAATACAATGTACCTTGCAGAAGGTGAATATTTTACATGCCGCATTGGTCCACACTGCATTGGTTTAGAACTGTTATATTTGGAAATTCAATCAACAATTACTTGTAATGTAATATATTATATTATGTTAAATAAATATATAACACTTAACATACATAATAAACACTATAATATAGATATGTACATATATATATTGTATATATACATTATACACAACATATAATATAGGGTGATTACCGAGAAACGCATGTTTTTCAAATAACGAGTATTCAGGCAATTAAGATAAAAAGTTGTATTTACGAGTGGAAAAACACTGTACACAATATGCAATTTTAGAATAAAATTACTTACAATTTAGTTTAAAAAAATTACATCTCTGAGATGGTCGCCTTCTGCTTTGGTATGGAATTCCTTCTTCGAACATCCCCTACAAGAGTTATCACACGTTTTGGTGATGTCACTTGGCCTTCTCGCTCACCGGATCTTGCAGTTCCCGATTTCTTTCAATGGTTTTTTTTATCTAGAATTTACATAAACAAACCACAAACGATACAGGAACTTAAAGAAGCTATTCACCAGGAAGTCAACACCATTCCTAGAGATATGTAAGCAAAATCAGTAGCAAGTTTTAAGGAACACCTTCAACACTGTATCAAAGCAGAAGACCTTAGATATGTAATTTTTAAACACTAAATTGTAAGTAATTTTATTCTGAAATTGCATATTGTGTACACTGTTTTTCCACTCATAAATATATTTTTTGCTTTGAATTGCCTGAATACTAGTTATTTGAAAAACATACGTTTCTCGGTAATCACCCTATATAATACTGGCATATGATATGCTAATTATTAACTGACAAAAATATTAAAGGTAATTTTGAGGCGCTTCTTAGGAGATTTTCTAATGTTCGGTAATCATATGTTCGGTGCATTGCATAAACGAAATAAGAGTGATACACTTGGGCTGTATATATATAAATAACACTCTAGTATTCAAGAATGAATGTCACAGTTATAGGTAAACTTCAATATATTGCATTAACTTTGTTTTAATTTAATTACCTAACTATGTTTTCTTGCAACATGTGTAGTAAATCGAATATATTTTTCCCTTACTATTATTTATTGTTAACGTATGTTTTACAAAACAAGTAAATAAATCAGTCTTTCTCTTGTAACCGTTATACAAGTGTGTCAACTTTTTTCTCTCTAGAAATATTTTAAATTACAAAATATCCAGTACTCAACTAACCCCGCTGGTCCTGAACTATTTCTCTTGATCTTTTCTAATTTTACTCTCTTTTATCTGAACCTTTACCTTTTTTATCTAAATAGTATTTTCATTCAAACAAATCATCAGATCTTCCACTAAAACATTTTTTAATTAGGTTTTATAACAAACTTCAAAACTTCCAGCCAACTAAACATTTCCAGAGCCTGTATTTTCCTTGATTTTAATAATCTAAGTAAAATGCGTATGATTCTGAATGTTATATTTTTTTACTACTGTTAAACCTAAAATAATATTCTAAATAGTTTGTCAAAATCTTTATAAAACGACTGTATGGGTTCTTTGAAATGAACAGAGGAACTAAGTGATTTCAAATGGCTGCCATTTGCAGAAGGCATTAGCAGCCTCTTAACTACAATATGTAGTATATTCTGTAGTTCTTGGTAAAAATAAGATAGATTATACATGTAAGTTAGTAACAAAGTTAAAATAAATGTCCAATTTAAGAATAATAGGTACCGGGTGTCCGAAAAATAACTCCCTAGTTTTGATAAACGATTGTTTATTGTAGAGAATACATATTCTTATATCTAATACATGAAATTAAAGAGGGTTTACTCAAGTTTATTTTGACATTAGTACACCTCGATATGTGACCCATTTGTAGCTCTACAGATATCTAACCGGTATTCGATCTCTCTCCAAGTGTTAGTTAACATATCAGGTGTCACTGATTCTACTGCAGCTACGATTCTTTGACGAAGATGGTCAATGTTACGTATCTTTTCTGAATAAACCAAGTTCTTAACGTAACCCCACAGGAAAAAATCCAGTGGTGTTATGTCTGGGCTACGCTCGTTTCCCGGCAAGATGGATGGGGAGAGCTGGCCCGATCGCGTGGCCTCCAAGAAGCCCAGACATAACACCACTGGATTTTTTCCTGTGGGGTTACGTTAGGAACTTGGTTTATTCAGAAAAGATACGTGACATTGACCATCTTCGTCAAAGAATCGTAGCTGCAGTAGAATCAGTGACACCAGATATGTTAACTAACACTTGGAGAGAGATCGAATACCGGTTAGATATCTGTAGAGCTACAAATGGGTCACATATTGAGGTGTACTAATGTCAAAATAAACTTGAGTAAACCCTCTTTAATTTCATGTATTAGATATAAGAATATGTATTCTCTACAATAAACAATCGTTTATCAAAACCAGGGAGTTATTTTTCGGACACCCGGTATTTCAAACTTGAAAATTAAAATTAATAATAATCGAGATACATAGTGATGTATACAGAATGATCTTCATATTTTTGTTAAAACTTTTTCTTTATTGCATTGCATATCTTTGATTGGACCCCTTTTAGAAATTCTAGTTATTTTCTCTCCAACATCTTTTACTTTCATCATTACACTTACTTTTGATTTTGAAAATTTTAAGAAATACAGAGAAAATAAATTTATGCATTCATATCTACTGGTTCTGAAAAATACTTAACTCATTCTTTTAACACTAATTGTAAACCTACTTTGGCCTTAAAATAAAAACAGCTGCTTCATTGTTATCATCATATTTTATAATATTATACAACTCAAATAATGTAATCACTATCATATTGAGGTATAAAAAAGCCCTAAATGAAGATGATATCGTGTATTATGACAGTAAGGAACAGAACACAATATTTTTAATTCAACATTAAAAGAATTTAGATTTTGTTAATGCTGGATAGTTTGTCAATGTCATGTTGAAAATAAATCGTTATAATAGGGAAAATAATTCCCATAGGTTTAAGTGTTTATTTAGGAGGAGGATTGTTTAAATATTATAAGGGAGCTTACGGCACACTGGAGGGATTGTATTAGCAATAATTGTTTATATATTTTTTTAAAGCTATGCAGTAAGGACTTTTAACAAAAGATTGAATCATAATCTACTTCCTTTACTAGGAGTTATTTTAAGTGTAACTTCATTTCCATGTTAATTCCTTTTATTGATATGTTAATGTTATAGATGTGCTGGCTCTATTCCAAGAGGAGTTGGTTTCAAGTTCATATGTCATTTGTTGAACTAGCAATTACGTTTTCTAACAATAAGTCCTTAGATATATATACCAGCTACTTATTGTAATATGTCCATTCACTTACAAAGAACATAACAATCAGGTAGAAAGGAGAACCAAGACACAAAAAAATAATCCTAACAATTTTATCGTACAAAATAACAGTAGTACGGTCCCTTGGGTCAGTGTACTTGATCCCTGTTTCGGAAAGGTAAGTGCAGGCTTAAAATTACCTAAGGGCAAGCCGCACGCCACAATAATAAGGGACGACATCGGCCACGGCACGTATTGTGGGGGGGGGGGGATCGGTGGTGGCGGAGGGTGGAGGGTGGGCCTGGGTGGACCTGCGCATTAACACTTTTACCCTTTGCAGTTTGTGTGGGGAATCATCCGGTCCTACATTGATCTTCTCCAATATGCGGCCAAATGTAAGTATAACTTGGTCAAGGTCATGTAGATAGTCTCCTCTCTAGTGTTAAGTAGGGATTGATAATATATTACAACATTGGTAAGTTATTAAGTAGATACTGGCTTTCAGGAGATAACGTATGTTATAGTGTATTGAAGGAACATAAATATACATTAGATCGATTCTTAATGCAGGAGTACGTTAAATGGATGCAATGCTCTATTCAAGAAATTATATAGATTTGTAAATTGTAATATTGATTTAGTTTCTAGTGTAAATGCATGAAAAAGATGTGTAGAGTAAATTGAAATATGCTCAAAAATAAGCACAAAAATTAACTTGAAATTCACAAAAAATAACATAGGCTATAAGGGTTGCCATGGTAACAAAATAAGAACGAAATATAATCAGAAAATAAAAACAAAACAGCACGTGAACACGTCATGAAGATTCACGTTACGATTTTTAATACATTATTAACATACTAAAACATATAAACTATTATTAAATTAAATATCTTCGATAAGTGTATAAAAAAATGAACAATAAAATATGCCTCAAAACCAGAATTTAAATGAAACATGAAATCATAGTTGTAATGTTTATGAGTTATATACATTTTAAGATCGTATAAGAATAATGTCAAGGAAATTTCTGTCAAACACACCATTAACATAAGACATTTTAACTGGACCATGTTCTACAATAATTTGGATTGTCCTAGTTAAACCTAGTTATAGACCATAACATTATTTATGCATTGAACAATCATATCCAAAACGGCCTATATACCAATATTGCACGCAGAGGAAAATAATATGAGCTACCTCAGTTTACTCCAATACCTCAAATGTTGAGCTAAAGCTGACTTCGTTACATATAAACAGTCCAGTCACAGCCTTTACGTCATTCACTACTATCAATCACACGTTACTAGTTGTTTTTACAAGTCCTGTTTACTACTATAAATGTCAGAAATAAATATAAAATTTAGTAATAAACAATTCAGTTTTAATACTTCTCTGAATTTTTAATTTCAATGTTGTCAATTCTTTTTCATGACCTTGAGTATTTAACTTTTTAAGTATGAAATAAGGTTTGATTTCAGAAATTTAATTTTCCATGTTTAGTTCAAGCTCTTAACTCCCATAAAATTGTGACGTTTTAAAATTAAAATGAAAAACTGTTTACCATTTTTACTTTGAAAATGGCTTTCATATTTCATCCATTTTTTGTACCAAAATATACTTATACTTAAATCATTTTGATACGTAACTTTTAAGATCACTGATTGTCCATTACTATAGGCAATCATTAAAAAACACAGAATGAATAAAAAATAGATTTTGAATAGTTTAGTCAAGCATGATTTCTTTTCGATGTGATATTTAAACTTTTAAAACTTTTAAAATCCATACTATAAACTCACATTTTGCTAACATTTAAAATTATATAACCAAATAAATAGGTAATGTTACCAACTTATAAGATTTTCTTTTCTTATGCAGTTTACCATGGATAAAAACAAATTATATTAAAGCTAATACAAAAAAGATATTTAATGTGGATTGGTTATCCATAACTTATTTAGTCCATAGTTATATAGTCCAAGGGTAAGACTTTATTTTGTAAAAAGTTGTTTTAACAGAGCTATTTTTCAAAAAGTAAAATTAAATTAATAAGCTACATAAAATACATAACTAATTGATAGTTAAGAAGTGTAGGTTAAATCTAAATGAATAGAATAATACGTCTCCTGGACTAGTAGGACTAGGTTTACCTAAACTATTGTTTACCACAAAACAAACCTAAAAATATAACATTGAAAAGATAGGTAACAAACTTACCTGAAAGGAATAAACACAGAATCCATACTAGCCTGCAGGGTCAACCTTATAGACGAATGATTCCAATCGCATTTCAATTTCGCAAACCCTTCATTTTTTTATAAGGAAAAAGTATAATGCTGCTTTGATCTGACTAGGTAGACTTTCCTTGTATTAACCCGCAACCTGTTCTTGGATTCAGCGGCTTATACCCAATTACAAGTAGCATTAACCCACAAAACAAAAGAATTATTTTACATGCATAATAAATAATAAACATATACAAAGTCCTAAAGTTACTTAAGAAAACAAAAAACAAAACTAAGTAAACAAAGTTCCTAAAGAAATGACGTCAAGTATTTATATTCACAGTAACAGAATGAATAATAATAACCAAATAAAGAACATTAAATAATGTAAACAAAATATCTACAAAATGTATATTAGGAATACTTTTAATATATAACTAGCAACAAAAACAAAATAAATAATATCATTGATTTTTGGAACAAGACATCAACGAAGTCTAAGCAATGTAATATAATGATAATTATTCTTGGAATCTTCAAATATTTCAAACCCAATCTCCGGAACACACTATGCCGGTTAAAAAGTATATCCATAGAATAAAACACCATTCAATGGTATATCTATGCAATCTCTTGACAGAATTAAAAAGTCTTATGATTGTGTTGAGTAAGTGCAACACATCCCTAGCTAGGTTCGTTTTAGAGAAGAGCAAACGCGAACGTAAATTGTTTCTGGGCAACGTGAACTACACTTTAGTAGTTAATATAGTTAATTGTGCAACTAGTGCACTTTTGCACTCGCGTTTTACATTATATGACTGCTAAAGTAACTATTAGCCATTATAAACAATCAGTATTTCAAACACTATACAACACGTTTTTATGTTAGGTTAAATCCAAGCGGTAAACGAAAGGAAAAACGCTGCACCAGCTGATCGTAGTCATAGTATCTTTAAGTGTTGCCAACTTATTTTCAAGCTTAAACGTATTACGCACTAATAAAAGCACACTGTTTTGTTTTGTTCTGTTCCAACCGTAACCGCATTCCAATACTGGAGTGCGGCAAAAAATGAGTGCGGAAAAGTAAGTAAATGAAACAATTAGCTTCTTGGCATACTATAATCGGTGCAAGGAAGGCCACTTTGTCAGGTAACTGCAGGAAAAGGTTATTTATTCATCTATCCTATAGACATTCCTTAATAATATTCTTCTTTACTGTACTACAACAAGTTACATCACGCCATGTTTATACTGAGTCGCAGCCATTATTGCATCATTAGTTTAGAGGTGACTCACCCAGCTCAGGTCCCGGCGAGGTTGTTGTTATAATTATTAATATTCCCACCGGACCGGGTTTTAACATCAATCACTCTTTACCAGTACAATTCCCTTAGCTGAAATTGTGACAGTTACATTCCAAAAACATAAATGTTCTCAACTTGGTATTAAATTAGTGAATAATTTAATTATTTTTATTTCAATATATTATGTAGTTAACCTATAAATTACGTAGCCACAATGTTTCACCGCATTTTCATCGAATTGTCAAATACATGATATAAAACGTAAATATTTGAGAATTAGTATATATAATTCTTGCAGCAGCTCATACACTGACGAGGTTGTTAAGAACGGATATTAAAGTAGCTCTAGATTTAATTAAGATAATGATGCTGTTGCAGTCACTGTGACTTGGATATATGGTTGTGTCATAAATAGTTCTTATCTAACATCTTTTAAATTTGCATTGTAACATTTTGACTATCATTTTAGTGTATCTCAATATGCTTTGCTAAATTAGGTAATTTTAAATTCTGTCCACTTATTTAATTAGATACCTTCCCCACTGTTTAGTTCTCTTCTTGGAAGTGATTAAATTTAATTTGATTGCAAGAGTTGAAAATAAACCTTTAGAATGTATTTCTTGAGGCCATTTTCCAACACAATTGTGGGATAATCGGGTTATTTTATATGGCTATCAGAAAGGCCTGGATTTAAATTCAGCAAATATAATAACCTTGACCGTTGTTTAGATGTCTGAACCCATATTTAATAATGTTAAATAAAATATACCACCGAACTTGGTAGAATAGTATTTTTTCCATATAAACACTAATCGTATCCAAACTGTGATGTTTTTAATATATTTTCATAAAATAAAAAAATTAAATTAAATTTTTCAGCAAACCAAATGATTAATGTACCACGCACAATTTTGTTTCACAAAATCTTCTGTAAAGAATATTTTAAAATATTAAAGGTTTCCAGAATTATTAAACAAATGTTGAAAACCCCCTTATTTAACAACCCATTGACAAGCGAGGCAGTTTATTACATTTACAGAAATATAAGTGGTGATACCTGAATTGACAGGATCTACGAATTCTAGTAGATTTCCAAAAAATAAAAAAAAACTTTGTTTAGTACACTATAGGGGTGATATACCTAATATTTCCCAAGTAGATTATAACTACTATATTAATCATAGATGATTAATCGAATTAATAGATATAGTTGAATCGATCAAATAATCAAATGATGCCAACCTTTATGGTGACATAACAAACATAGAATTTCTAGTCCATTTTTCACCACCAATAATACCGGTTTTATATTACTCATACTGACCCATTTTGTGCATATCGTTTTTGTGCTATGTTGGTGTATGTCAATGCATTTTGTTAACATGCTCATACCCAGCTAAATTATTAGGAAAATTTTAGCTTTCAGTTAAAATAAAATAAATAAATACCCCAGCATTGTAAAACACAGAGAATTCTGTATGAGCTCGTGTAAACCATGTTATGCCAGCATAACACATAACATCACTAGGGAAAAGTTGAAAGCTCGCTCTCACGTTAAGCTGACTGAAGAGTCTGATTTTATGGCAGATTTTGTAGGTATTTGAAATTCTATGTGAATGTTTCAATTCTTTAAATTTAAATATAAGTAGTAAATTATTCTTCTAATGGTTTATAAAAAAAACTTTCACAAACAAAATGTAAATAACAAGGGAATCAAATATAAATATATTTATAAATTAATTTCATACTACATCCACAGCCTCCTCTAAAATATAATTATGCCAGTAAATCAATTGGTTACATAATTGCTTATGAAAAACGTGATAAAAATAGCTAGGACTTAATTCAAAGTATTCAAAA